TGCAGGCTCTGGGGTGGGGATGAGGAGGTTGGGGTGTACGAGGGTGCTCTGGGCTGAGACCGAGGGGTTCAGAGGGTGGGAGGGGGATCAGGGCTGGGGCAGGGGCTTGGGGAGAGGCTCAGGGGTGCAGGTTCCCAGCGGTGCTTACCTCAAGCGGCTTCCGGAAGCACGGGCATGTCCCTTCTCCGGCTCCTATGTGGAGGCACGGCCAGGGAGCTCTGCACGCTGCCCATCCACAGGCACAACCCCTGCAGCTCCCATTGGAGAGTGTAGGAGCCAGAGCGGGGCCATGCCGGGGCTTCCGGGAGCCACGTGGTGCGGCCCCCGACTCTGTGCCCAGCTGGAGGGGGGCCGAGCCGTGGTGCAGCTCGTGATCCAGCCCGCGGGCTGTAGTTTGCCCACCCCTGATATAGAGGCAACATAATATTTTCTGTCCTGTTATCTATCCCTTTCTTAATGATTCCCAGTATTCTGTTCACTTTTCTGACTGCCGCTGCACATTGAGTGGATGTTTTCAGAGAACTATCCACAATGACTCCAAGATCTCTTTCTTGAGTGGTAACAGCTAATTTAGATCCCATCATTGTATATGTATAGTTGGGATTACGCTTTCCGATGTGCATTACTTTGCATTTGTCAACATTACATTTCATCTGCCGTTTTGTTGCCCAGTCGCCCAGATTTTATAGAATGTATTCTGAAGCATATAAGGGTTTATGGGGCCCAGCATGTCACTCCCCCATCCCAGTCACGAGGGGCCGGCCTCGGGATCGCTGCTGTCTGTGGCACTAGATTTGGCTAAAGAGCTGAGTAAAGTTTAACCATTTCAAGCGGAACACACTCCGGAACTTGTCTCCCGTGAGAGCCCAGCGCCCGGACTGTCAGTGTCACAAACCAGCTAGAGACTTCCCCTGCTAATCGCAATGGGAGGTTTTAATCTGAGCTCAGACCGGCTTCCCCGCACTGTGTGTTTCTCTGACACAGTGATACCGGCCGGTGTCCTCGGGCTTCAGGCTGCTCATCTGCAGGTAAATCAGCTTCTTGGAGCTGTCTGTGGAGGCGGTGAATCGCCCTTTCACGGGATCTCCGTACTGCGCATCTGCTCCCTTAATTGCTGATACCCACTCCAGGCCCTGCCCGGGAGCCTGCCGGAGCCAGTGCATCCAGGCGCTGTCTATGTTGAACCCTGAGGTGGTACAGGTCAGTCTGAGGGAGTCTCCGGGCTTTTTCACATCCCCGCCGGACTCCAGCAGCTGGACTTGTGACAGGACACCTGGGAATAAATGCGTGTTAAAATCGTGTCAGTGTGAATTGCCAACCACACAACATTCCGCTGACTCACTTATCGAGACGGGGGAGAAAATACCTTCCAAAGCTGCAGCAACGAAAACTAAATGGAGCCAAAGACTCATTTCCCTGGTGTGGGGGGGACAGGTGGATCGGTTGGTAACTGCACAGACCCAGGGGGCTGCGGATTCTCTCTGGGTGCAGACTCGGCTGAGAGAGATTTAAACAGGAAACTCTCACCCTTATTTGCATATTCCCCTCCTTATAACAGATAAAACTTCTCCCAGTGAGTCACTGAATGATTGTCCTGCTCTGTTCATTCCCTCGGGGGCACCTGGCACTGGCCAGTGTCGGAAGACAGGATACTGGGTTAGATGGACCTTTGGTCTGACCCAGTCTTGCCCATCTTAAGTTCTTGTGATCTCACATCTTG